ATGTTTAGTCGGCTATGTTTAATAGTCGATTAAGGTTTAATTGGCTATGCCCAGTAGTCGATTAAGGTTAATCGACTTCAATTTTTATTTTGTTTTAGATTTTTTGTTTTTTGATTCTGACTTGTATAAATAAATTATATTTTTTGTATATTTTTTGTTTTTGTAAATATAGTTGATTTTATATTTTTTAAGTTGTGATTTGTTATTCTTAGTACTTAGATTCTTAATTGACTATGATTCATAGGCGATTTCCTTAATCGACTATGAGCATAGTCGATTAATATATCAGATAAAGAAAAAAGAAATTAAGAACCGAAAATAATAAGAATAAAGAAATAAAAATTAAATAATTTCCCTAATCGACTATGCTTTATAGTCGATTAAGGAAACTGATACAGGAAAAAAGATTTAAAAATTAAAAATAAATTTAAAAGGGGTAAATTACAACCACCCCTGAGGTATGGTGAAATTACGAAAACCCCCCTCTTGTTTGGATAATTACAACCACCCCCTCAACTCCTCAAATTTAGTGGAATCTTCGAGATTATATGGAATATTATCACTTTTAAACCCGTTTTATCTCATTCGAACTCTACATTTTGAAGCAAGATGATCATAATATGTGTTGTTTGGCTTGTATATATCAGATTGTGGTGCATCATAAACTGTATTTTTTACACAAAACGAGTACAAACTAGAGCACATTCCACGAAATCTAGATGATTATGTTGAATTTGACACCATAAGGGTGGAGGTGTAAGAAAAAAAACATAGTTGAGGGGGTAGATGTAATTATCCAAACAAGAGGGTTTTTTTTTAGACTGATACCTCAGGTGGGTGTTTGTAAATTACCCATTTAAATAATGGCTGATGACTAGTGCGTGACACAATGATGACGCGGGCGCATGATGTAATGATGATGTCATTTGGGGCATAATTGGAAAATTGAATGGCTGAAAGTGGAGGGTTTTTCTCAAATGGTGCAAAATACTTTGGCCTCTCCCTATTAAAAGAAGTATTGAGAGGATTATACCAAAGAGCCCTTTTTTTGGGACTTTACAAATAAGCCCATCAATGGGTATTTATTCATAAAATGATCCAGACAATAAACTCCTTTACAAAAAAGTCCCCACATGATCTAGATTTTTGTAAAAGATTAAAATAGCCGCTCATACTTTAATATGCTCCAATTTCATCATTCAATTTAATTTGACCACAAATTTCACAAATTATTCAATTTTGACCCAAGACACATTTTTATGGACAATTCCCTTCACCGCTGTTGACCGCCGGTCTCCGGCGTTGACTTTTTTTTTTTTTTTCATTCTTCCTGATTTTTCCGCCGGTCTACGGCGTTGACTTTTTTGATTTTTTTTTCTTCCCATAACATATTTTTTTCGTTTAAACAATAATATTGCTGTGAGTAACAATAATATTAACTATATTACTGTTAAACACAGTAAAATTAATTATATTACAGTTTAACACAATAATATTGCTATATTAATCTCTAGCACAGTAATATTAACACAACAAAACTCATTATTATTGTCTAATAGAGTAATATTACTATGTTGACCGTTCAACAAATGTAAACATAAAAAGCCAAAAGAATTAATATTACTATGAGTGACAGTAATATACGATAACAACAGTAATATTACCGTCAACCACAGTAATATTACAATAATAGACAGTAATATTATAACGTTACTCCGTGAATAACTCAACCAAAAAAAATAATAATATTGATGTGGTTGACAGCAATATTACTATAACAACAGTAATATTACCCCCAACCACATTAATATTATTGTGTTTACAGTAATATTACAATAATAGACAGTAATATTGTTACGTTACTCCGTGAATAACTCAAACAAAACAAAAAATCCAAAAAAATAATAATATTGATGTGGTTGACAATAATATTTTTGTGTTTACAGTTATTTTACTGTCAACGACAGTAATATAATTACGTTGGTCTGTCAACAAAACTAAAAACAAACAACAAAACATAAAAATAATAATATTACGTTAATTTACTGTCAACGGCAGAACAATTACATAAATGTATTGTCCACGACAATACAATTACATTAATGTATTGTCATTGACAGTATAATTACGTGAATTTACTGTCAGTGACAGCACAATTACGGTCAACGTCTAGCGGCGGACGTAAAATAAAAAAAAAACACTAAAAAACGTCAACGCCGGAGACCGGCGGTCAACGTAGGAATCCAGCGGCGGAAAAAAACAGACGAGATAAAAAAAATAAATAAATAAATCATCGTCGGAGACCGGTGAGGGAAAAAACAGACCAGAAAAAAAAATCGAAAAGTCAACACCGGAATCCAACGGCAAAAAAAAAGTTTTTGAAAAAAAAAATCAAAATGGATTTTTTGTGGTCAAAATTGATTAAATTAGGGTTACAATTAAGAATTGAGTATAAAGGGTTGGGGGTAATTTTGTCATATACATAAATGTTTACTTTATTTATATTCTTATATATAAAAGAAAAAAAACGTTGGGCAACCTAAAAAACTCTAATGGTATTTTTATAATTATTTATTTTTAATATTTTTATCTACTAATTTCTAACTATAATTTTTAACAATTCTCAAAATTGATACTAAATGGTGAAGAATCTTGCCCTAATGGTACATCTGTAATGAGTTATTTTTAATATTTTTTCTCTACTAATTATTCTTAATCTATGTATTTGGATTATAAATCTAACATGTAAGATTTAATTTAGAAAATTAATGTTATATAAAATAATATCCCGTGCATAGCACGGGATAAAAATGCTAGTAAATATTAAAGGGATGGACTTATTGGTGAAAGAGATATAGCCCATAAACCTGGAATAATAAAGATGCTTAGGGACCTATGCACAAGAAAACCCTTATTTTTTAATCTTCACATGTGGTTTACCGCGAGTTATTTGCAACATTTACCACCTGGGTACATTATCAGTAGGCTTTAACAACTTCACTGGTTTTATTCCATTGAAGCTATTTAACATGTCAAATCTTAGAATTATTGGTCTTACAGCTAATAGTCTGTCTGACAGACTTCCAACTAAATTTCACCTTCCCCCTTGTACTTTAGTTCGGTATCACTTTACCATTTTCTACTCTCGATTGTATCGATTTGTCCCCATGTACTTGAAAAATTGTCTCAATGTGGCCCTCGCCGTTAGTTTACAGATATTTGACCTTAACACCGTTTGATCTAAGGTCTGAAATTACAAAAACACCACCTCTCTCAGTTTAAATAATTGTTAAAAAACAAAAACAAGTTAAAAAAAACAAAAAATAAAATGATAAAAAAATCAAGACAACGAGAAAACATAGTCCACGACGCCAGCCACAGTTTATTTTTATTTTCTTTTATTTTTTAATAACTATTTAACCTGGGAGGGATGGTTTTTTTGTAATTTTCAGACTTAGATTTAACGGTGTTGAGGTCAAAGGTCTATAAACTAACAGCGAGGGCCATATTGAGACAAGTTTTCAAGTATATGGCAAATCGATGCAATCGAGAGTAGAAGGGGGTAAAGTGGTATTGAGCCAAATTACAAGGGAAAAGTGAAATTTTACCCTTATTTATATTTAAATCAAATTGGATTTCTTTTACAAAACAATCAGACGGTATTTTCGAATTTTCAAGTAAAAACACACACTCCTACGCGCACAATTCGCGCGTGCATTATACGATGAGTTGTTAGGGATTTTTTTAGCTTTGAATTATTTTCATAGAAGGGTCTTTGCTAATTGTTTTAACACGATGGGGTTTTTAGCAATTAGAGATTTCACAGGGATAGATTTTGCTAAAAAACCCAAATAATTTGGTCATGATAATACAAGCCCATCAAAATGGGGACCATTAACATGAAAAGGAATATACACGTCAGCAAACTAATGACTCGTCACTTGATTCTTCATACAAGTTTCTTCAGTTGTAGACTTGTAGTAAAACTGTATAAAAGATGGTGGGAATTGGAATTGAGTTTTCGTATTTTCGTTTAAAATTACTCATTATCATATAAATTAAAATAGTGGAAATTGGAACATAATTTCCGGTCTCCGCAAATTTCAACACAAAAAATAAATTATTTTGAATTCCGAAAATTCAAATTTTTTGTATCTGAACTTTTAAGATCAATATTGGAATATTGTATACTTGAGATTTTAATTTTCGATCCAATAAAGACACACCAAACATAATTCGGTGACACATGCAATGCAAACTTATTTCTTTGGCAACTTCTCCTCCCTTCTTCCATGTTTCTGAATTATAAAAAAAAAAAAAGTTCCCAAATTGAAGAATCAAATATGAAGAGAATATTCCCTCGTTTCCGGCCATGAACGGAGCCGACGAGGATAGAATAAGGGGAAGAAGAATGTTACTACGTGTTTTTGGGTTTTCATGGGAGAGATGGCTTTATGAAAACTATGAGGGACTCAATTAATATTTTCGAAAACTTCATTTGGGACTTACGAAAATTCTTGGTGAATATATAATTTTCAAAATTTCTAATTTAAAGGATATTTATGCCTTTCCAGTCCGAAAACACACGCATAATTGGTGAGTGTATTGCACGATTATAAGGGGGTTTTCATGACTTTGACTAATTTTTGTAGGGGGTAAATGCTATTACTTTTAGCACAACGACTGTTTCGACAATTTGACCTATCATATAGGTACCGTTTGCTAAAACCTCTCACACAATATCATAAATTTTACAAAATACACAAATTCAGAAAAGACGAAATTGATAAAAACAAATACCATAAATATAAGCGATATACATGCAAAATAAGTTTTATAAAATTGTTAAAAGTCTCAAAGTCACACTATGAGCTCACATATTCAGCAAGTCAGTATTATGAGATCACCTTTTTGAATTTGTTCTTCTTTACACACTTTATATAAATGTCACCCATAGTTATGAGGAGTTCACCAGAATAATAATATTCCAGTAAGTAATGATGGCAAAAACATGGTGTTACAAGATGCTTGCATGTATACTCCTACTACTCCAAATAATGTCATCATATTGCCTAATATCAGCACCCGTAAAATATCCAACCACACTCGAAACCGATAAATCTGCTCTTCTTGCCCCGAAATCTCATATCACTTTGGATCCTCATAACATACTTGCCCAAAATTGGACGAATTCGAGCTCTGTCTGCAGCTGGATTGGCATCACTTGCGGTTTACGCCATAATCGAGTAACTGCGGTGAATCTTTCTTACATGGGTCTTTCCGGCACCATTCCGCCACAACTAGGAAACCTTTCCTTCCTTGTTTCCCTCGATTTTAGTTTCAACCTTTTCACCGGTGTTCTTCCTCAACAGTTGTCTTCTCTACACAGATTGAAGTTTATTTCTTTCAGAGTAAACAAATTGAGTGGAGAGATCCTGTTGTGGTTAGACTATTTACCGAAACTAGAGCATCTATCTCTACGGAATAACAACTTCACCGGTTTCATCCCAAGTTCCGTCTCTAATCCGACAAATCTACAGTTTCTTGATTTCTCTTCAAATTCTCTTCAAGGAGTTATTCCGCAAGAGTTGGGAAAGCTTCATAATCTGAAGAATTTGTACATGGAATACAATCATCTCTCCGGTCGTATACCGTCATCGATATTTAACATGTCGGACCTAAAAGCTATAGCTTTCACAGGAAATGAACTGATTGGCAGCCTTCCAAGTGACATGTGCAGCTATCTTCCATTCCTTCAAGGAATTCACCTATCTAGTAATAAGCTGAGTGGCGAAATTCCATCGAATCTATCAGAATGTTCACAACTTCAACTAATATCCTTGTCTTACAACTCCTTTAGTGGGCATATACCAAGAGAGATTGGCAGTTTAAAATTTCTTCAGACGTTATATCTTGGGGGTAACAACTTAAATGGTATAATTCTTTGCCTTCTTTGTTGAATTAGGTTTATATATTTCTTTTATGTTTCTCGTTCAAATTCAGCCTACATGTAGATTAGGGTAAATTACAACCACCCCTCGGGTATGGTTAAATTATGAAACCCCCCCCCCCCCACACCCTCCTGTTTGGGTAATTACAACGACCCCCTCAACTATAAATCTTCTTACACGTCCACCCTTGCGGTTTTAAATTTAGTCGAATCTTAGGGATTATATGGATTATTATCACTTTTGTACACGCTTTATCCCACTCGAACTTCACATTTTGAAGCAAGATGATCATAATATTTGTTTTTTGGCTTGTATATATCAGATTGTGATGCATCGGAAACTGTATTTTTACACAAAACAAGTACAAACTAGAGCACATTCCATAAAATCTATATGATTATGTTGAATTTGACACCATAAGGGTGGAGGTGTAAGAAAAAGTCATAGTTGAGAGATAGATGTAATTATTCAAACAAGAGGGGTTTTTTTGTAAATTGACCACCCTATATTTTTTGTAACAGTTGATTTGTAAATTCCATAGGTGTTATCCCGTTCGAGATTGGCAATCTTCAGAACCTAGCTCAATTTGGTATTGAACAAAACCAGATCACCTGTACAATTCCACTAAGTATCTTCAATATTTCTTCACTCCAAGTTTTACTACTAAATCAGAATCACCTGTCTGGAAGCTTCCCAAAAGATATGGGGAATCTTACAAAGCTCAAACAATTGGACATCTTAAACAACAAGTTAACAGGTGCGACTGAGAAAAAATATTGGAATACTTTCAGAGTGCGTTTGGATAGAAGGATTTGGGGAGGGATTTGATTTGGGGAAGGGATTTGAAATGGCTCTAATTTTGGAGTCATTTGAAATCCACCTTAATTGCTCAAAACATAACTAAAAAGGAGGGGTGTAGATTTGAAATCCATTCCCAAATCCCTCAATCCAAACAAGTCCAAGGGATTTGTTATTATGGATTTGGAATCCCTTCCCCAAATCCTTCCATCCAAATGCACCCTCATTGTTATCAATTTCTCTATATTCGCAATGTTTACTTTATATTCATTTAATCTTGACAGGTAGTTTACGGCGAGAAATTGACAAAATGTACCAACTGGATATATTAATATTAGACTCTAACAGCTTCATTGGTTTTATTCCATTGGAGCTCTTTAACATGTCAAATGTTCGAGTTCTTAGTCTTACAGCTAATAGTTTGTCAGGCGGTCTTCCAATTAATTTGGATATGGGGTTACCCGCTATCGAAATACTTTACCTCGGAGGAAATTACCTCAGTGGATCAATACCCGATTCAATCACTAACTGTTCCAAACTCAGAATTCTCGAACTCAGTAGTAACAACTTCACTGGTTTTGTACCTTATTTTCTCGGTAATCTAAGAATCCTTGAACGTCTATCCATTAGCGACAACAATCTAAGGACCGAATCAACTTCTTCCGAATTGAGCTTCATAACTTCTTTAACTAATTGCCAATCATTAAATAGACTCTCAATTGGTGGCAATCCTCTAGATGGCATCATTCCAGCTTCAATCGGGAATTTATCTACATCGTTGCAAAATTTATTTGCCTACAATTGTAAAATTAAGGGTATCATCCCTCCAGATATCGGCAATTTAAGCAGCCTCGTGACACTTTCTTTATTCGAGAACGAGTTGTCTGGTAACATTCCACCTACTGTTAGCCATATGCATAAGCTTCAAGGATTAGGTTTACATAGAAACAATCTGCGAGGTTCCATTCCAGAGGGTCTTTGTGATTTAGAAAAGTTAGTTGTTTTATCTTTAAGCCAAAATAATTTTTTCGGTCGAATACCGGAATGTTTAGGAAATATCACGTCTTTAAGATATCTCCATCTAGATTCCAACATGCTGACTTCAAGCATACCATCGAGCATGTGGCACCTCACGAATTTTCTGTATTTAAACTTGTCGTCAAATTCCTTGAGCGGATTTATACCTCCCGAAATAGGTAATTTAGTGTCGGCAAACACTATCGATCTATCAATGAACCACTTGTCGGATTCTATTCCAAGCACTATTGGAAATTTAATATCTTTGAGTGGTCTGTCTTTGGCCCATAATCTACTGGAAGGTTCTATTCCAGAATCCATGGGGAACATGATCAGTCTGGTATATATAGACTTGTCTTACAATAACCTCTCTGGTTCAATCTTTTGAATCACTTCAACACCTCGAGTACTTTAATCTCTCTTTCAATGCTGTGAGAGGAGAAATTCCCAATGGTGGTCCTTTCGAAAACTTCACTATAGAGTCTTTTAAGGGCAATGATGCATTATGTGGAATCCCAAGGTTTAATGTACCACTTTGCAACCATAATGTTTCCAAACACAAGTCAAGGATGAAAAGGGCACGCTTAGCTTTATTTATTGTTATTGGGGTTGTCGCATTTATCTCGCTTCTCTCATTGACCTTCATATTCGTAAGATACCGAAGAAAACATAAGGCAATTAATGGAATTGACGGGCTGGTTCCCACTGTACCTCCAGAAAGAATTTCGTATTACGAACTCCTACAAGCAACCGAACAGTTCAGTGAAACGAATTTACTCGGCGTGGGGAGTTTTGGTTCTGTGTACAAAGCCGCTCTAAGAGATGGGAAGATTTTCGCCGTCAAGGTCTTCAATGCCCTATCGGAAGCTGCTTCTAAGAGCTTTGAAGTCGAATGTGAGGTACTACGAAACATTCGTCACAGAAATCTCACCAAAGTCATTAGCAGTTGCTCTAACGAGGATTTCAAGGCACTCGTACTTGAATACATGCCAAATGGAAACCTCGAAAAATGGCTATATTCACACAACTATTGCTTGGATCTCATGCAAAGATTGAACATAATGATTGATGCCGCATGTGCTTTGGAATATCTTCACCATGGCTATTCGACCCTCATTGTTCATTGCGATTTGAAGCCAAGCAATGTGTTGTTAGATGAAGAAATGGTTGCCCATGTGAGTGATTTCGGGATAGCAAAATTGATGGGCGAAGGTGAGAGCAGTGTGCACACCAACACCCTAGCAACAATGGGTTACATTGCACCAGGTTAATTAGTATTCTCACTTTAATTTCAGTCATACTATTTATTTATATATTCAATTGGATTTCACTTTTGAATTATTGCATTATACAATTGTTGCTGTACAGAGTATGGTTTGGAAGGGCTAGTTTCGACAAGGTGTGATGTTTATAGCTATGGAGTGATGGTGAATTTTTTGATATATTGTGTTCATCTCTGCTATATATATTTTGTTTAACCGAAAGATTTGAAATAACTCCATATTAGTTGGACATAAAATCCACAACAATCGCACATAAATAAATCAAAATTATAATTTAAGGATTTGTAACCCATTTAAACATGAAATCATACAAACTAGCTAAATAAATTTCTAATGATATTTTCGAAAACCTTAGCTTCAAATCCAGTCAACCAAACACAACATAAAGAGTGGGTTCTTCCATAATATGTTTTTGTGCGTACCGTTCTGGACCCATTTTCATCTCCGTGTTGACCGGTCGTGAAAAGTCAAAAACACACTAGAAATTTTGGAAGTCTTTGAAATTACTAGATAGGCGCAGGTGCGTTGCACGTGGGTATTAAAAAATTAGGATACCCGCGATTAGTGAGGAAGCCAATGCAGGGCCATGGCCCCCTCAATTTTTTTTTTTTTACTACTATATATGTATGTTTAGTTTTTTTGCCTTTGCATTGTCCTCCGGGAACAAATGGATCTAACAAGTATGATAAAGAAGTTACGAATTGTGACTTAGAACCACGGCCGAATCTACCCTTGGGAAGTGATGGACTCAGATCATCCTCAATTGTAAAAACCTCCACTGTATTACGCATTTATATATTATTAAGTCCACCAAATTTTTATTATTTAGTACTCCTAAAATTCAAATAAATGCTTAAAAATACAATATTTTTAATTTCCTATCTTCTTATTTTGGAAAAAAAAATATATAAATTTTTTTCAGGGGCGTGCCCCCGAACCCCCAAAAAGTAAAGTTCACAATGTAGCAAAATCTTAGATTCACTAGTGTTGGAATAATAATTGTTTTCAATAAATTTTTTAATACATATTCGGCCCCCTAGTGACGAAATCCTGGCTTCGCCACTCCCCGTGATTATACAAAATTTAATGGCTTCTAAAATTTCAACCAGTGTCATGTTATACAATTAGCACAACAAGTCTTTGTAGGCTGCTGCCTCAATTGGTTAAGTTAATGAAAACAATGGTGAAGACTTTGAAATTATCATGTTGCACTCAAATTTGTATTATTAATTCTTAATTGTTTATAATAAGACTGTGGAGCCAAAACCAATTGCAACAAAATTCTAAATCATAAATTCATAGCATCGTCCAACTTTTGCATTTAACTCTTGTCAAAAGACTCATTGGTTAATCGATCCTGGTAACATACTTGCCAAAAATTGGACAAATTTGAGCTCTATCTGCAGCTGGATTGGCATCACTTATGGTTTACGCCATAATCAAGTAACTGCAGTGAATATTTCGTACATGGGTCTTTCCGGCACAATTCCACCACAACTAGGAAACCTTTCCTTCCTTGTTTCACTCGATTTTAGTTTCAACCTTTTCGGTGGTGCTCTGCCTCAACCGTTGTCTTTACTACACAGATTGAAGTTTATTTCTTTCAGAGTAAACAAATTGAGTGGAGAGATTCCACGGTGGTTGGACCTTTAAACTAAAATAGCAAGTACCACGTGTGCAGCACGTGAATTTCACTTAATACTTATGATTAACTAATAAAAGTTATATACTATATTTTACAAAAAAGATATTTTTAAATAAAATTAAATAAGTACAAAACTTCATCTTCTACTTACGTATCAAACTGTATGATGAAATAAAATTATTCTAAAATTGAAACCAATAAGAATATAAAACCACAAGAAAACAACTAAAATAAATTGCTATATATTATTCATGCATGGAAAATGCTCACATTAAAATTTCTCTTATTTTGTTGTGATAGTTGATTATTTTCATTATCTTGAATTTCTCTCCATAATTATTGTTTGAAACAATTAAGTCTTTTTCCGTGTTACTCGTATGTTATCACTCTGGTCAAATTTACCAACAATTTCCTTAAAGAAAGTGTAAATTTACTACATCGGGGTATTGATATTTGGTGTAATTACAGCTAGACTGCCTCTAGTTTAAAAAAATATGCATCCTCCCTTTGGTCTAATTATACGTATAGTATTTACTTTCTTTCTTTGACCTCAAAATTTAAAATAGTTTTGATCGTCCACGTCTATTACTTAACTTTTTTCTTTATTTTCATAATCTTTTTTATTAATATTGATGTTTGAGTTACTATATAATATTTATAAAATTTACTTCAGTAAACAATAAGACTAGTTATTAAGTATTCCATCTGTCTCATATTATTGTCTTTTTGGGGTTTTTTTTAACCCAAATTATTTGTCATTTTAGAGTTTCAATTAAGCATTAATTGCATTTTGTTTAGAAAATTCGCCCCTTATCATTCTTAATTTGTTATTTGAAAAATAATTAGTGACAAGGATATTTTAGTATTTACGATGTTTTTTTTGTATAATGTATGCATATTTATTGAGTGTCTTAATATGCGCAATCACCCAAAACGACATCTAATATCGGACGGATGGAGTATATAATAAGGTTAATTATTACATATAAAGATTAAAAATACATTAAACATGGAGCCCTTAATTAAAAAATGCAAATTCATTTTTATATGATTACTTATGTATATACATATGATATTATGATGATTGAAAAACTCTTAAAATTTAACTTTAAAGAAAAAGCATTGTTGAAATTTAATGTATAAAATAATAACGATAACAAAAAAAATACAATTTTTAACATATTTTCTAGTATACTAAAAGGTCCTCGACATTAAAATTATATTACTAAAAATAAGTAATATACACATCATTTATTTACTTATTATATTTTTATGTTTCTTTTTATTTATTTTTACATAATTGACTACGGTTAAATCATGTTATCACTTATACTAATAAAATGCATAAATACCGATACTAAATAAACTTTAAAATTTTATTTAACATCTATATTTATAATCAATCTGAGTCATTCACACCCATTCTTTCTTTTTTCTAGACATATTTCTTATATAAATGAGTATTTGTTTTTTTTTTTTTTTTATCATTTTTAAATATTTCTTAATTAACTTAACATCTACAATGAAAAGTTCACCAATTTGAGAATCAAAAGTACATTAAGGTTCTAATATCCAGTTAAACATTTTTGTACATGAACGTTCACTTACATATTTATGATATGTCATTGAAAAACTCTATTATGAGTTTTATATGAAATATTTTTTCTTTAAAAAATTAAGAAAATAAACTTTGACTTGTGAAAGAAATTATAATATATAATATATGAAAGATGATCATACTTTTAATATAACATACGATAAATATTATTACTCGTATTAGTAAATACTAATTATTTTGAGTTTACACTGTGATATTTTCATATTTGTGGCATTTATGTAGTAAAAATTATATAAGAATTAATTTAATACAAGATGATTTATTTTAAATATTTGTTTACATATATATGCTTGTTAAATTAAGATCATTGGAAAACTCTTGTAACTCTAAAGAAAAAACATTGTTGAAATTTAATGTATGAAATAATAACGATAACCAAGTAAAAACAACTTTCGCCATATTTTGTAGTATATTAACAGGTCCTTGACAGTAAAATTATATTTACTAAAAACTAAGTACCATACATTATTATTTATTAACTTATTATATTTTCATATTTTCTTTTACATATTTGACTATTGTTAAATCATATTATCACGAATACTAATAAAATGCATAAATAAATAAATAAAAGTTAAGAATTTATTTAATCTCGATATTTTAAAATCAATCTTAGTCATTCAGAACTATTTCATCATATTTCTAGACATATTTTTTATATATTGGTTAGCTGTATTTATTTTTAATTTTATTTTGTTATTTATTAATAAATTTAATTAACATGATAACGTTCACTTACATATTTATGATATGTCACTCACAAACTCTATTATGAGTTTTGTAATACATTCTATTTAAGAATTTAAGAAAATAAACATCAACTATCAAAATAAATTATAATATATGAAAATATTATCATACTTTTAATATAACATAATATAAATATTATCTATATATAATATAAAAGGAGGATCTATGCCCTCAATGATTGACATGTGGCAAATGATGATGTCATTTGTCAAAATTGCTTAGTCGGAGTTCAATTGATGAGGTGGATTCTTCAATTGATTATGTGGCATTTTTATTTAGGTATGTTTTTAAGTTCTTTCCTATTTTACATTTACACAATCATTTAATAATTACCACATGTATATATATTATTTCCAAAGTTAATATTTTATAAATTCGAAATAAAAAAATCTTATTTATATTTTCAGTATTTCAAAATATATTTATTGAAAAAATTCATGAAACTCAATTTTTTTTCGAATATTCAAATAATTTTCATAAAAAAAACAATTTTTTAAATACTAAAATATTAAAATAAAGGAATATGGTGTTGTTGTTGTTGCTTTTTTTTTCTTTTTTTTTTAATTTTCAATATTTTGGAATATTCGAATATCTATTCCATTAAAAATAATTAAAAAAAAATATTTTTTAATTGAACTATTTAATGAATATACAATATTTTTTGTATATAATTTTTATTATGCTATATTTCAAATTAAAAATAATTATACTATTTAATAAATATGCAATATTTTGAAATTTAAAATTTTAACAATTTAAATGCAGTATATTTTAATAATTTAAATGCAATATATTTTAACAATCTAAATGCAGTAGGTTTGTCAGTATATTTCGAATACACTATTTAATATATAATATGTTTCGAAATATACACTAGATTATGCATTATATTTGTCAATTACAATTTCAAATTATCATGTATTACATATTTAAAATATCAAATCACCAATCCAAATGAGTCTTTAATATTCCAAGATTCCTTCATATCATCTTTGATTGATTTAATTTACACTTTAATTAAAAATTCAATGGTAAAAAATAAAAATCGTATCTTCATATTTAATGGTATATATTGCAAGTTTTTTTTCCACAAGTTATTATTTTATTTTTTTGGGTTGTTTCCTTTATTTG